GTCCATTGATTCTGCACAGACTAGAGAGTAGAATAATTTAACCATCAATGCTTTAAACGTATAAACTTTGACAGATTCAACTTCTGTGTAACAGAAAGCTGCTTACATAAGTGATTTGAAAGACAAATGTGACTATTTAGGTTAAAATAGTCAGCCTGGGATTAAAGATTTTTGGATAAGCAGTGTTACGATTGCTTCAAATGGAATAAAATAAGGAAGGACTAAAATACCCTAAATGGATTAATGGAATAAAGACAGATACAAAGAAGGTTTTTCTATTACTTATTTCAGGAAAAAATATAATTGTATTTTAGGATTCTGGGTTAAAAAAGAACAGAGGTTTGAAGCTGCCATTTCACTGAAAACAAAACAAAGCTTTATGCAGACCAGCTTACCTTGTATTTTTCACATTCACCAGAATGAAACTTCATAAAATGTTCCCCAAAATATGGTTCACTAAGAAAAATAAATGAAACATTCAGACTGAAATTTATTCACGTGAGCCACAGAAATGCTGACTATTTCTAATATGTGGTTCTCACTTTCAAAAAATTATGACTCTTTTGGGATATTAGATGATTTATTTAAGTAGAATAGGAGGACAACTAATGTAATCATACATTTAAGGTTTTTTACTATACATCAACATGCTTAACAGTTGAAAGTTTCTGAAGAAACTCCGATTCTGTCAACCTCAAAAAGTGTCACTGGTTTCAGTGGGGCAGGATGTCACTTTTCATGTGAACCCAGAGGAATTAGCTGCAGCTATGGATCACTAGAATGGAGAGGAGTGAGAGGCTGGATGTATGATTTAGGGAAACAGAGTGAAGGGAAATTTAGTTTAGGCCATTATAATCCAAAGATCTGCACATATATTTCCAGGACTTAATTGACAGCTTTAAAATCTCCTTTATGTCCAAAACTGTAACGTTACTAAGACCTTTCTGTTATACCTCAGGAACCTCATTGTGTGTTTTCACACCTGAATTGTCCTGCCAAGATGTTGATTTCCCCCTCTTCCTTCCCTCCCCCTCTACTGTGGGGAAGACCTGTAAAAATCATATCCATATTAGAGTATGTTTTTACTGCAGGGTTAATTTGGGTTCTTCCACATTGGAAAATGTGTTAACTTAAGTGAGAATAATCAGACTGTGAAACAGTACTCAAGCTGTGTGTCTACACACCTTCTGTCCTTGTTTGCTTGTGACAGTAAAATTTCTAGAGGTATAGCGCCAGAAGATGCTTTGCACTCTGAATTTTCTCATATCTGGAGGCATGGGGAAGGTTGTCTTTGTTCTTTCTAGGCTCACCAGAGGGATTGTGGAAAACATTTTGGAACTCAGGCCCTTAAGCAGATCTAGCCAGTACCCACAGTGAGGAGTGCTTAGGTTAGCAGCTGGCAAATCATGCTAATTGTAGTTTTTATCTATACAGCAGAGAATATCAGTTTAATGGACTATGTGTGCAGGTGGAACTCAGATCAGGAGCAACACTTGAATTACAATTTAAACAAAATTCAAAAGGCAGACAAGGTTTTATGGGTATGTCTACACAGTACTGTCTAATGCTGCAAAGAAACATATGAATTATTTAAACCATTAAAATGAATATGACTGCATTAATATAGTTCTGATGGTCAGAGAATGTTTATATCAGAACTAGAATCATCATATCTAGGATGGAAATTTAATTTAGACACTGCATTGGGCAATAAGGACAATCCCTACAAAGAATAATTAGAAAATACTTATTTTTGGGGGGGCACACTAAATGCTAAGTAGTCTTTATTAATAATAAAATAGTTTGTAAACTGAGAGGATAGATGAACTGGAGAACCTTCCATTATTCTAATCATCATCTCTTAGTGACAGCTAGCCTGCTTCTCTTACTTCCTTGCATCTTGAAAAGTCACTTGCACTTCTGCAAAGAAAGCATAATGTTCTGAAAGGCAGTATTTTACATCCTCTGTGCTCAGCTGAAAATTACTTTATGTGATCTAAGGTAGTGAAGGATTGGACCCAGATGAAAGTACTAATGGTTAAGGCTCATATTTCTACATGACCTGTGATGAAAGACAAGAAGGTGCTGCATCTCCAGAGACTTTGGGGAATGTTCGGGGAGTGATATAATTAATAACTAACTGTTCAATTTGACAACGCTTAATCTCATTTTCTCAGGCTTGCATCCTACAGATTATTTATAAATTAGATTAGTGGTCATAGTAACTATTCCCCTGAGTTTGCAAAGTGAAGGGAGCCCAAAATGACTTCTACTTTTCACAGCAGGTCAATTGAGCACATCATCCTCCTCAGCAGGATAAAATGAATACGGTGCAGTCTACTCAGGGGAAAATAAATTCTGTTTCTCACAATACTAGTAAATGAGCTGGGGAAGGCTCTGTCAGTTTAAAGAGGAAAGTAGTGTCCTTTAAATCTACAGCAAAGGCCTTGCACCATTTCAGCTTGTACTGAACCTCCTCTGCAGGGGACATGGCCAGTCTGACCACATGGCTGCCACACACCATCATGCATCTCCAGCCTATGCACATGGCCCTTTGCACCCTCTGCCTCACCTGTAACAGAGCACCAGCAGCCTCATGGAGCAAAGGGGACTTCTCATGTCTCCAACAGAAAAGGAACAGAGACCTCTATGCAAGTTGTTGAGCTGAGATGCAAATTCTCATTCTGTTTTATTCTGAGAAACAACAGCTGCATCATAGAGAAGCAAAGTTTTTGGAAGTTGATTTCATTGCCAAAGAGAAAAGGTGCTTGTCTTTACTTCCAGATACATATTCAGTACAGAGTCAGAAAGTTAAGCTGCGGACCAAAATTCAAAGTGAAGATAATACTTTTATCTTTAACAGGCTTGCAGAGGAATTATTTCAGGAAGAACTGAAAATATATATGCCAACAAGAATAAATTTCAAGTCACTCACATAGCTGTGACTTCTGTGACTTGTAGGAGGAAATCATAAAAGCTCCTTTTCACCACCAAATTAACAGTGGACTACTTTTTTTTAATCAGTACAGTATCACAATTTCTCAAACTCTACAATGCAATTTCTTCCTTCAGAAAAGTCCTTCAGAGGTCTTTTACAGGCATTGTATTACTACCAGGCTTCAAAGCCTGATCTGTACTGATTCATGGGACTGTTTAATCTATGATCCACAACACCCTTTGACAGGAGTCTCACAGCTCAACCACACATAATACAAAGAGCCAAGTCCTTTCATTTATTTCACACCTAAATTTTACCAGCTTAATTTGACCCCCATCTAAAAGTTTTTACATTGCAAAACACTGTATGATGGTTAACATATGGACGTTCTTAATATATTACTTCCACCTTTCGTTCAAAATTCAAAATTATTATGTTTTCTTTATAACAGTGTTAATATATTTATTAATAAAATACATAATAATATATTTGACGATTTGTATATACCTACATATACACACATGTAGTAAAACAATATGGTTATGTGAAACACTATACAATGCTCCATACTAGGAGTGTACAACACCAAGTTACACAAACAGTCAAAAAATAACATTTGATTTGTCATGATCTCTTTATCAGTTTGGTGGATTGTGTGAGATTTTCCTTTTATTTTCATTAGGTTCATAGAAAAAAGCTCTTGAGAATCTAAAATTAGAATGATTGTGGCTTATCAGTTTCATTCATTAAATAACTGAAAGCATATGCTTTTAGGAGATTAATTGAAAAAAACTGAAACAATTCTTATCTACAGTTTAAGGCAATCTACTTCGAAGAAATGAATGATCTGCAGGTGACTACTAAGGCTGTGTGATTTATTTTATCGACTTAGCAAGCAGCAGAGCAGACATGATACTTGTGACCCGATGAGAAGAAACTGAGTCTGCACAAGTGGGTCCGAGGCACCTCGCACCTCCGTCTTGCAGAAGGGGAGAGGAACAACCTGTTCCAGCTATTTACTGGGGGAAGATTTTCATACCTGCGATTCTGTGTAAATCATTGAGGTGGTAAATGACGCCGAGCACCTAAATTCACGCGCTTTCAGGTGGTTCGATGGAGCCGGGTCCAGGCAGCCGGGCAGCTGCGCGCAGCCCCGCCGCAGTCCGGGGCCAGCCCGGCTCCCGCCCGGCGCGGCGGCGCTTCCCGGCACCGCGCCTGGATACTGAGTGCCCGTGGCGTTCACGTCCCCGGCCCGGGACGGCCCACGGGACAGCGGAGGGGAAGGAGGGTCAGGGGATGCCGGGGACAGGTGGGAGCGCAGCCGGAGGCGGGCGGGGAAGGGACGTTACCAGCCGACATCAAGGACGGGAAAGTTGGGCGAAGAGAAGGAGGGCGGTCAGAGCGCCCCGCTGCCTTCCCCCACGTTCCCGGCCGCTCCGCCCGGGGTGCCGGCGTTGCTCCCCTCCCCGAGGCGGCGAGGGGCAATGTCCTCCCAGCCGCCGCCGCCCCCGCTCCGGCCCTACCCCTCCTCCGCCCCCCTCGCACCGCCTCCCCCCCCCGCCGGCGGAGGTGAGCGAGGCGCAGCGCCGACTGCGGCGGCCGTGCGGGAGCAGCGGGGACGGTGCCGGCTGCATCCACCGCCCAGCCCGGCGCTGGGGACAGCCATGGGGAGCAGCCGCCGCTCCAGCTGCCGCGGAGAAACTCCCCTCCGGATGTCGGCTGCGGGTGGCCTGGTCTGAGCAGGAGCGGGAGGAGGGAGAGGAGGAAGGGCCGTAGCAGCGGCGGACTGTGCAAGTTGCGCTCTGCCCTTCTTCTCGCCGGCCCGTCTCCCACCCGCGGAGCAGCATGCGGACTGGCCTCCGCGCTCTCTCAGATGTGCTCTGGCTGCCGCCGCCTTCAGTGCATCCTGCTGCTGGCAGCGCTCACCCGGGCGCTGGATGAGACGGGAGCAGGGAGATCGCTGCTGCGGTCCCGCCCGCTCCTTCATGCGGGCTTCTGCTCCGGCGGAGGTCGCACCGCCGCCGCGGAGGAGCCGGGCTGCCCTCCCGCCCCGCGCCCGCCCGCCCGGGGGGCCCGCATGGCGTGCTACCTGGTCATCAGCTCCCGGCACCTCAGCAACGGGCACTACCGCGGCATCAAAGGCGTCTTCAGGGGACCGCTCTGCAAGAAGGGCGCTCGCTCGCCGGTAACTGCCACCTCCTCGCCCCCTCCCTCACTTGCTCCCCGCACGGTAGGAGCGGTGCGGGCGATGCCCACGCTGAGGGCGGCCGGCGCGGCTGCGGGGGGCGCGGGGCGTGGGCGCCGGCTCGGTCCCGCTCTGCGGGGCCCCGGCGTGGGCGCTGCCTCGCCGGGCGGCTCGGAAAAGTTTCTCCGTCGGCGGCTGCCAGCGAGTGGCCGCGGGGACGGGGCTGGGGGCGGTGCTGGCGTTCGGCAGTGGGGCGGGGGGGCTACGGCTTCGCTGGGGTTATCCGTGGACCGCGTCTCGGGCTCGTGCCCAAATTTCTGACGCTTTGGTGAGAAGTTGGAGGCTGGTAGAGGGGAAGGCGCCGTGTCGGCTCCAGGTGTCGCGGTTTAGTACCTTGTCCAAGGTTTTGACGCGGCGGAGGAGGGAAGCGATCGCTCTCGTGGATTCGTGTGCCAAAAAATGCACTCGCGAGTTTGTCTAAGGCGCGTTGTGAACTAACTGTCTAGACCGGCGTCTAGATAGAGCACGCGTGAAGTTTGGGGGGTCCTGCAGAGACCGCAGACCCGTCGAGCTACCCTAGACGGTGTCCGTGAGTCGCTACAGGCGTTTGGTAGGGGCGAGCGGGAGTCCTGTGCTGCCGGGGGCAGCGGGTGCCGGGGGCAGCGCGCAGGTGCCCAGGCGGCGGCGAGGCCCCGCTGCCTCTCTCCGCCGCTCCGCCGTGGCTGTGGCACCGTAAGCGCCCCCGTGGTCGCCACCGAACTTTCCCTGTCACCGTGCCGGGTGTCGGTGTGTGACACACGGAGGGGTACGGACCTGCCATCCACCCAGCCTGCCTTGCACACCCGTGCAAGGGACAGCCTGAGCCCACTGGTGGGGTTCCCTGAGCTTCGGCAATGCCACGTTGTGCCTCGCAACACACCTGCACCCTAAATACCTTACGGGAACTGAAGTCTGCTTTCTCTTTCTTGACTTCCAATGAACAAAAATGACACATATTTCACTGTGCTTCCAAAATCCCTTCTGTGTTGTGCACTAGCACTCTCATAGAGCGCCTGCGAGTTCTTCCCTTGTGCTGCTGTGCCTGTCGTGTGCAGTGTCACACAACTGCACCGCAGTTCACCCGTGCCATCGATCAGTCATTGGCTGAGCTGTGCTTGTCTTCTTTGACCCATGGAGCTCATCCACTTTCCACTTGCATGTGTGGAACCCCAGAAATGCAGGCAACATTTACTGAGATCTCTGTTTGAAATTAGGTCAAATGGAAAAAAGATCTCAAAGATGTAAAATGGGAAGAAGCTTGATTGTAAATACTTCTGATTTAGCTGAATTCAAACAACTCATATTCAAGTTGAGTAGTATCAGAAGCCTGGGAAGATACTACTCTCTGAATATTATGTTCCAAATCCTTCACTTTCAAATTTCTTTCCCTTTTTAACTGCCTAGTGAGTATGCACACCACTCCTCTCCATCTAAATACTTCATGAAATAAATTTGTCTGACTCCACTAACAAATCATCATTTTCAACACAGGTCCACTAAGAAATAGTCATAGTCCTGCTACCGGGTGGGAGCAATTTTTGTTAATATGTAAGTAACAGAGAAGAAGACCAATGAAAATTCATGTTCCTTATTTTTTAAAGGTGTATTTTTTTTAAAGGATTTTGTTTTAAATTGAACCATCTTAGTCTTAAGCCAACCATCTAGGGTTTAGTGGAAAAGGGAAAAAGCTATGAAGTTGAAAATTAATCTCAAGTCTCTTTCACTGTAAAGAAATGCTCTTTCATGTGATTTTTCCAAAGTTTGAAAAAAGTAGCAAGGGCACTTTGTATTACTTTTTACTAAGACAGAACATCTTGTTTCCTAAACATCTTGTTTCCTGTTTTATATGTTTTGGGGCCATTTCTACAGAAAGGACTGAATTTTAGCAATCCTCAGCTTTCATTCTGAATTCTTGAGGGAAAAAAATTACTTCTCTACATATATTTGCTTTTTAAAAATTTATTTGTTTTCTTCTGCCTTTTTTAGTGGCAACTCTTTGAAGCTAGTCAGGCTTTTGAGGTCATTGGCTAAGCCCTTTGAAGAGGGAGTGTTGGACAGCTCATGGGAGTAAAGGTGCCTGATAAAGTTTTATTAATGCTGGGTAACTGTAGCATTTTCATGTGTAACTTTTTCATGTGTTCGATATTTTGAATTTACTATTTGTTTATATAGGCTATTTTCATATTTTGATATGGAAGTTCGGATTTTAGGAGATAAATAAAGGATGCTCAGTTGGCACAGAGGGTAATAGCTTGCTATTAAATACTGAAAGCAGTGAGTAATCTGCATGTGCCAACAAATTTATAACTTTCCAGACCATATCCCTCTTCCTTATCAGTGTGCATAAAGTTGGTAACAGTGAATAGCAAAAAACATCACCTGGATACATTGTTCATTATGGTGTGGGAGTCATGCATATTGAGATTTAGTATTGACTGAGGTAGTAAAATTGTTTTAAACATGAAAAAAATGCCCCACACAATGCAAACAAACTCTCCAACTATTGAGTTAAACTTGGGGCCATTTCCTTAAGAAGGAAGTCTTAGGCAAGTGGCATTTATTTGTATTCCATGTCCTGTGCTTTTATTCAACCCTCCTGATTATAACTTTGAAAGGTACAAGTTATGTCTTGCAGTCATTTTTAAAATGTTGAATTGAAAGCAGCCTTGAAGATTTGATTTTATCATTTGTACCATTAAACAATCTTCTGTTTGTACACTATGAGTGATCTTATGCATGAGTCTATGTAGCCTTTAATGGATAATATGTACCTTTCTATATTTAAAGTATTCTGTATTAACAGACCATGAAATGTCAGTAGACTTAAGGCTATGCTTTCAGAAATGAGAAAAGTGGTGATGATTTTAAATACCTTTATCAAATTTCATGGTTTTATGAACAAGGATTTTTTCAGTCTGGGTGTTTATGTAGTATTTATTTAGCATGCTTTGCTATTATTGTACCAGAAACAATTCTGGTCCTTCTTCCTGGTATGCAGAGAGACCTTTAGCTGTAGCAGTTTGAACAAGATACACAGAACTACAAGGATAACACACTTTGAGTATGTAATGAATTTGTCGTGATGCTGTCATAAAATCCTTTAAAAGTTTAACTTTGCCTTTGCCCATTTTTACATATTGGAGAAGGGACTAGCTCTGAATATCGTGAAGTTAGTAGTGATGAATTCAGAAAGAGTAGAATTAGAAGCAGTCACCAGTAAATCCTTTATCAGTGGAGTCTGATGGAGTTACATGGGGAAGGAAATGCTGAGTTTGAACATGAGGCCAACATTACTGAGGATAATGGACAGTAAGCCAATGAAAGAAGCTGATCATTTTAAAACACAGCTGATTCTGTGCTTTAAGCTTTTATATTTTATGCGAAAAGTTATATTCAGGAGCATATTATAAGCAAATTTTCTGTCTCTGAAAATTGCTGTTTAAGGAAATTCATTATGATCCAGAGATATTACTTACACTTCAGAGTGATGATAGGATTTTTGAGTCCTGAATAGATTACATTGATCAGTGTACCGGTTTTGCTTTTTGAAGTCATGACAGATAACACTGTCACACTCACCCAGCCTGCTCAGAGATTTACTGCCATGCTTCACAAGCGTGGCAAAGCTGGCACTGAAAAGGACTTGCCTGCAAAACTTTTAAAGAAACTTCCAGGATGCAGCAGAAAATGGTACTGGGAATTCAGCAGATGGCCCCCTTGCTTCTGAATAATTTCTAAGCCAAGGATGTTATTAGGGTACACTGTTCTTCCTGTGGCTTTTTAAGATAAGATATAAACAAAGTCTCGTTTACTACTCAGTATTTAAAGATCCCTTTGTATTTTGAAGGAAATAGAAAGCTCAGAAGACCCAGTGCCTTAGCCAATTTCTGACTTGGCTAATTATTTTTCTTCCGTTGTTCCCTGCAGCTTCAGCTGAATACAGTATTTTTCATGTACTTCTCTAAGCTGTTTTCAAATAAAGCTGTCAAGCAGCTGCTCCATTGCACTCGGTGCTTGCCTGAGTTCTTTGGGTTGTTGGGGGCAGGAAAGGCTTTTCTGTTACACAGGGTACCTTTAAAAAAGCACAGCTCTCACCCCATGTCCAGAGGCTGCTCCAGCAGTTCTAATTAAGTACATTGCAGGTACTTGGAAATAATGATGGTTTAGTTAATACTGAGCCATAAGCAAGCTGTTTTAGCACTACAGCAAATATAACCAGGACTGACTAGCACCTTAGCACTCTCTGAAGCAGGCAACAACACAAGGCACTTGGAAACTTTGAAAACTTAAGTGAGCCTGAGGACTGAATGACTGTAAATAGAGAACAGGAGGGACATGGCATGGGCAAGCTATCTCTGTCTGCCTGAGATCAATGCTAGAAACACAGGCATAGCCAAGCCTACCACAAAGTGACAGTATTGTGTTTGCCACCAGCCAGTGGCAAACACGTCCCAGGCACAGTTGTCAGAAAGCAATTTAAAGGCTAGACATGGCGTATGTGTACCATGTGAAATATGGCTTAGGTGGCAGCAGGTTAAAGGAGGAGCCATCATATACCTGGGTGCTTACTGGAAGACCAAAAACCTTGTGCATTTCTGACTGCATCCTTTAGCACTGTGACTGCACTCTCAACAGCACTGAAAGCAGAGAGGAAGGGCATGCTGCAGCATTACAAGGAAAATGCATGAAAAGTAACATTTAAGTTAGGAAATAGAGTCTAAAGGGGCTGATAATAAACCAGCAACTAATAAATAGTCCTAAAAAAGGAAAGGGGGAAAAAACCCCAACTGCACTAACAAAATTTTGTGGAAAGGAAAAAAGGGAGAAATTGTAAAGAAGATGGAAAATTGTACTTTCACTTTTCTGTGCCAAAAGTCTCTGGCAGCTGCCTCCAGCAACAGTGGCTGCCTGCCAGGGGGGATTCTGTGCACTCTTCTGAAGGCTTGGAGCTGGCTCACAGAGGTATCTGCCTTACACAAACCAAGGGCAGGCACTCCTGCTAACTG